AAGGATGAGGACATGGAGGGGAGTGTAACAGGAGTATGGGGTGAAGGATGAGGACATGGAGGTAAAGGAGTCCATTTACTAAGGACAGACAGGCGGCTTCTTTCGCAAGTAAATTTCCCCTCAGCTTTGTCAATGTGGTACGAATCCCCCAAATCATCATTGCTTGCTCCTGATTGGATGATGGAATTCAGTTTGCAGCTATTTTTTGTCTTCGGTAAAACACGCCAAAGACCCCTCCAGAGTTCTTCATAAAAGACACAGGGAGGGTGTCATACCTGAAGGTGACCTGCAGGGGGCGCTCAGTACATAGTAATGCTTCACATTGGAGATAACGGAGGTTGTAATAGTAAAGAATGTCCAGCAGGGGGCGTTGGCAGAATTACATTGTCCCGTATAGAAGACAGAGGGAGGTGTAATACCGGAGATGGACCAGCAGAGGGCGATAATATTCCTTCATGCGGGAATACCGTTAGATGTCAGGAATAATGGACCAATGATGGGCGGTGGGCGGGGTTTAATACATCCTGGGAATGGTACACCAATGACCGGCGGTGGGCGGGGCTTAGTACATCCTCGGGGCTGAAGATGGCGGCGCGGAGAGTGTCGTGTGTTTTTCTCCTCCTCCTGCGGGGTGAGTACCGGACAAAAGCTCCTCCCACTCCCGGGTGAACGATCAATAAAAGTATGAGATTCGGGTCTGTGCGTCCCCATTGCAGAGATTCACCCTCTGCGTCCCCTGTCGGGAGATTCATCAGGAATCAGACTTCCCATTCTAGGAGTCGTGCCCCTCCCATTTGGAAATCAGACCACTCCCACTGAGGAAATTAGACCCCTCCCATTCAGTCAGACTCCTCCAGGGCTGGACGGTGCCGGGTCACCATGGTGACTGAAAACAATTGGGGATCGGGCCTCATCATTGCTTCACCGCCCTAAAGACCGCGTACACTCCGCCCCCTGCCGCTGGGCTGCGCGAATGGAGGAATCTGCCGCCGGGCCGAGCTTCAGGAACCTCCTAGTCGGCCCCGTTGGCTGTACAATGCCGGCATCCAATCAGATTGTTCCGGTATTACGAGGGGAGATTCCTCCACACACACAGCTCGGTGTTTCCTCCAGAAAGCTAAAAGGAGAAAAACTTCAACTCCGAACTTTTTGCAGCAAAGAAATACGTGCCCTGCTACCCCAGACGCGGGATAGCCGGTCACGTCCCAGACGCGGGGTAGCCGGTCACGTCCCAGACGCGGGATAGCCGGTCACGTCCCAGACGCGGGGTAGCCGGTCACGTCCCAGACGCGGGGTAGCCGGTCACGTCCCAGACGCGGGGTAGCCGGTCACGTCCCAGACGCGGGGTAGCCGGTCACGTCCCAGACGCGGGGTAGCCGGTCACGTCCCAGACGCGGGGTAGCC